CCAGGACTAAAACCAGGTCTAAACTAGGTCTAAACCAGGACTAAACCAGGTCTAAACCAGGACTAAACCAGGTCTAAAACAAGGTCTAAAACCAGGTCTAAACTAGGTCTAAACCAGGACTAAACCAGGTCTAAACCCAGGTCTAAACCAGGACTAAACCAGGACTAAACCAGGTCTAAAACAAGGTCTAAAACCAGGTCTAAACCCAGGTCCAAACCAGGTCTAAACTAGGTCTAAAACAGGATTTAACAGGACTAAACCATGCTGTGCGGACCGTGTCTCCACCTCTTCTATCAATAATATTTTTAATACGGTTACGAAAAATCTGGGCTTTTCATTGAGATTTCCTCATCTTTGTTTCTTTACAGCAAATCAAGTAATCCAAAGTATTCAGATTACGTTACTCACATTAAGTAATTTAATGGATTCTGTTACAAACTACATTTTTGGGGTGTGTAATCTGTAATCTGTAGGGGAATACATTTTAAAAGTAACATTCCCAACACTGTTCATTAACTGTCTTCATGCGCAGTGGGTTTATAACATCAGTCCCCTTCGCTCTGACAGGGGGAATCCTCGCGTGCAGATCGCTGAATGAATGAATGGCTGTCTGTTTTGAAAGCTCTCATCTGAACAGCTTTGGAGAGCCATCTTTCTGTTGCCACTCATCATCATCTTCATCGTAATCAGCGCCCTTCCATCCACCTCTCCCGTGCGCGCCCTCCCTCCCCCGGCTCCGTGCGTCCGTGCGTCCCTCCCCCGGCTCCGTGCGTCCGTGCGTCCGTGCGTCCCCCCCGGCTCCGTGCGTCCGTGCGTCCCTCCCCCGGCTCCGTGCGTCCCTCCCCACGCTGTTTTCCCAGATTTATTCACGTGCGGCTCGCTCAGACATGCTGTCGCCAGCCCCGTGACGTCACCTGCACCAGGAGCCCTCCTCCGCTCGCGCTGTTTCCTTCCGCGATGTCTTCTCAAGAATCTAGTCCCCCTCCAGCTCCTGCCACAGCGCTGAACTTGACTGATGAGAGGAACTTTTTAAGCATTTTAACACTTTTTACTTATTCTTTTTATTTATGATTTACCGTCTTTTATTGCGTAAATGTGTCTGGGAACTGTCATGTTTATAAAATGTGATATAAAAATAAAATAAAGTGGATTGGATTGGAGGACTTTTCCTTTCCATTTGCAAAAACTCAAACTTATTATCACAGCACAGACACAAAAACTGATTCAACTCATTAAACAGACAACTCGACATGATTTAAATATTACAAACACTTAGACTAAACTGGGACATTCCCGATTTGGGTTGGTTGGTAATAACGAAATTGTGAAACGAGCGTGTAATTAAGGAAAATTCTGCGTTCGGCACTAATGTGAGTCAGTATAGTCGCATTTTCTTTGTGTTTTGGTTATTTTTGGTTAATTTTACCTCAACAAATGGGAATAAATCTCTTTTTACGGTCGGCAGGGATCAGATTGGTCAAAAATAGCGACACCTGGGTCATTTCTTGTATAAAACTGGGATAAATCAGTGGTTTTGGATAAATCTGTTGGGACAGGGCTCAAAACTGGGACTGTCCCGAGTAAATAGGAACATCTGGTCACTCAAACTTTATCTTGATCCACAAAAGAAATTATTTGGACACAGTAAATGGTAATAATACATGTACAAGTCAAAATAAAATAGAGAAATAAGTAATAAAACATAAAAGAGGTCATAGGAAAAGAGTGCAACAATGATATGATGATTGACAGGACATAGTTTTATCCGTTACAAAGAGAAAGACAAAACGCTGCTGAATTAACGACGTGTTTCCTTGTGTTTCGTGGCTATTTTCATGCAAATGCGTCTGGCATGCGGCACGTCTTTGAGTTAACTGTTAAATCTCACACTGGAGGGCTCCCGGAGGACGTCTGTGTAACGCTGATCCTATGGGGGCATGTGTGTGCACGCCTTCAGCTTGTTCTGCTCTTCACATGCTTTTGTTCTTGACACTATAAATTGCTGTTATCGTCTCACTATCAAAGCAGAAAGGGAACCGAGAGCACTAGACGGTTCACAAGTTCACAGAGCTATCAGATAAACCGCACACTCACAATCAGTTAAGACCTTGTTTGGATAAACTTGTGATTTTAAAAGTGTGGTTAGGTTAAAGCGCTAGACCGGTGAGCAAAGTAGCAAATTTGAATCGAGATGTAAACAGAAGTGGAGTCGACCCCTCGCCAAAACCGACCACAGGTGAGTCCACATTTATCTATCCAAGCAGACGCGACCTAGATATTCCGCTCAGTTTCATTTCTCTCCAGCGACTAGGTCAGGAATCGGAATGCTACGGAAGCCGAGAGGGGTCACAACAAACGCAAACGTCGCAATAAATACAAATGCGACGACACAAACGCAAATGCCGCGACACATTAAAAAGCCACAATGGAAGTGACCGCGGGACTCTATTTTAATGCAAACGCCGCAACAAATACAAACGCGACGACACAAACACAAATGCCGCGACACATTAAAAAGCCACAACACGTTATTTTAATAGATCCATGGCCACAACACATCAAAAAGCCACAACGGAAGTGACCACGGGACTCTATTTTCCGACGGGCCGATCAAGCGGCAAGTGAAGAAGAAGAACTACAACGTGAAACGAATAATGATAAAGTAACTTCTCCGTTCCTTTACTTTCCACGTTGTAGTTCTTCTTCTTTACTTGCCGCTTTATCGGTCCGTCGGAAAATAGAGTCCCGCGGTCACTTCCGTTGTGACTTTTTGATGCGTTGTGGCTCTTTAATGTGTTGTGGCTTTTTAATGTGTTGTGGCATTTGCGTTTGTGTTGTGGCGTTTGTATTTGTTGCAGCGTTTACATTAAAATAGAGTCCTGCGGTCATTTCCGTTGTGGCTTTTTTTTGTTTGTTGTGGCTTTTTGTTGTGTTGTCTAGGTCCCTTTTGTGGAAAAGCACAACGATAAACAAAGCGATCGAGATGGATGTAGACGAAGACAGACATTCTGTGTTGGCAACCATTCCCGAGATCGAGGATTTAACGCCGGAACAAAGAGAATGTTTGGTGAATTTTATCAAGGGGAAAGACGTTATTGTCCTTCTTCCTACGGGATTTGGAAAAAGCTTAATATACCAGTGCATTACATACGTCACGACCAAATAGCAGCGATTGGTTAAATGATAAAAAGTACTCACTTACCGTCGAGCGAACGAATTCTAACCCTGACTCATCAGACGGTTTCACTTCACAGAAACTGTCTGATGGTCAGGCTAAGATGATGAAGTCATGTCAAAACTATTAAATGCAAAACCTCCTTCAAAATAAGACGAGTTATCTCATGACAGACATACGCAACGCAACTGTCGACACAAACGAGCGACCCAACTGACTTTGTGCCTACCAGCCACTGTGTCCATGTGGAAAAGCCGGATGTAAACAAAAACAAAATTTTCTTGTTTTTTGATTGGTGTTATTCGAAATATCAAGGGGAAAGACGTTATTGTCCTTGATTTGGAACATTACATACGTCACGAAGAAAAGCAGCGATTGGTTAAATAAAAAGAGTACCTGCTTACCGTCGAGCGAACGAATCCTAATGCTGCGAGGTCAGACGGTTTCCACGAAGTGAAACCAAACTACCCCATGTTCTTGACGAATCATTCTAGTTCAATGATTAATCAAACTGGGACATGTCGAATTCGCTTTCAAACGATTCAACCCTAAACGATTCTTCGCTATCATAAAAGTACAACACTAACCACAATCACCAGCTGTGTTAGTAAACTTGAAACAGATTTGAGATTTGAGCGTTGTCTCTCAAACCGAAAACACTCTTTTCCACCTTGCGATGCCATGTGGTAATACAGGAAGTGCTCCATTGTGTTTTTAGACTCCACACATTTTCATGAAGCTAAATTATTCCCTGATTATGGTAAAGATGGACTGGCTTGGGTTGTGTTGTGTTTTAGTTTTTCCTCGAGTGACCCACAAAAGAGAGAGCCACTGTCTGTGTGAATGTTCATATACAGTAACTAGAATCATTTGGATAACTTCACTCCTAGACTTTCCAATCTTGGTTGTTCTAAAAAAGGGTGAGGAATTTTCAAAATAAACTTGGACACCCCCAGTCTGGAGCAGTTGGTAATAATAAAATTGTGAAACGAGTGCGTGATTAAGAAAAATTGTTGGACTCGGCCCATTCAAGACGAACATGTGAGTCAGTATAGTCCCGTTTACTTTGAGTTATGGTTGTTTTTAAGCAGCTTTTTCTATATTTGATCTAAACAAATGACTTAGATTTTAGATTTTGAAAAACTTTGATCCACAAGGGAAATTATTTGGACACAGCAGCTCGCAAATTACAATATAAAAAGACAATTCATGCCTCTCTTTACTGTTGGAACGTATCAAATTGGGCAAAAATAGGGACATTTCTTGTATAAAACTGAGACAAATCAGTGGTTTTGGATAAATCTGCTGGGACAGAGGACACAGGGCTCAGAACTGGGACTGTCCAGAGTAAATAAGGATGTCTTATCACCCTATTTTAAAGGTAAAACGTAGCTCTTAACTTGAAAACTAAAAAAACAAGACTCATGTTGTTGTGTTATTATTATTATTTCATTATTTGTTTATTTATTTCATTCATACACACAAGAAATTAATGAAAAGGAGTAGTAAGAAGAGTAATCTTATGTTATCTGCCCTGTTTTCCCTTTTCCAGACAACACATCAACACTGATAGTCACTTTAAAACATTTCAAATCAGTCCGTTTCCGTTCACTCGCGATAAATCACAACGATTGCAAACAGAAATCTTCCCTATTACGCACGGACAACTTTTTCACGGTTACATAATCTGTATCCACGCAGCGACTGAGGATGGGAGAAGTGTAAAAAGTAGGTCTTGTTGTTGTCAGAGTTGCATCCCGCGGCGTGATACTGGCTCTGGCGGAGTGTGAAGCGGCCCCGCGACTCACTGACGCCAGCCCCAACACAACCGAGACGCACACTGAAGAACACACAGGAACAGCGGCGCACTCAAAGAAAAGGTACGGGCAACTTTAAAACTTACGTATCGTGCACAATACCAACTTTACGCACGCGTTTTTTACCCTCCTCGCACCCGCTTTAAAGTTGTAAAAGTACGTGATTGCAGCTTTGCAGTCGGACGCTCCACTGTTGCTGAAACTTTTTTCTCCTTGTACAAGAGTTGGAGCTTACAGTAACGATCGTTTCTTCGCTTCGTGGAGTTTTGCGCGAATATTTCACGCGTGCATTCCTTCGCAGATTGAGCACAACTACCTTCGAGCTCATTTGTAATCATAATTTCGTGCTGCTTCTCGCGGATACGTTCACGTCTGACACTGAAGTAACTTGAATGGGGCAGAAGTGGGCGTCAAAACTGTGCGTAATTTTGCGTAAAAGTCTTTTTTGGAGGGAATGTTCGCCTCTGTGTCTTATCGTGTTAACAACAATGTGACTTCTTATAACTTAATTAGAAAGCAACAGGGTGTGCAAGCGCAAGTGGCCTCGTGGATTAAAAAGTGAACTTAATCTTTGTCTGGATAATTGCGCGTGCACAAGAGATGGCCTACAGCACGCTAATTACGCTCGTCGAAGTTTTATCTGTGCGTAATGAGCGGCGTGCCGTAATTGCTTAATTGGGTTGTCATAGCTACGCCGTTGGAGTTGCTTGAACGTGATGTGTGCGCGATCGTGCGTTTCGTGTTGAGTGGATGTCGAGGTATGGTGAGTGAGAGACGTACAGCAGCACCACAGCGCTGATCTCCTGTCCCTATCGAGGATGACATATCAGATAACCCACAGGACAGGAATTTGCCCTTGTCCGTGATTTTCCTCGAGTTTGAGACGTATTTAAAGGTCCTACATTGCGTAAAAATCGATTCCTGTGAGCCTTAAGTCATGTTATAATGTTGGTTCATCAGAAACGTGCCTGGAGATGTGTTTTGTTTTGTTCATATGTTTGAGAAATCCTTTATTTTCAATCTGTTTCAGTCTTTTCCACCTTGTGATTGTTCCGAGTTAACAGCTTCCTTTTAGCTCTAATTTCTGTAAAGATCGGCAATTCCAGAGCTGAAATCAATCCAGTTTTTTCTACTAAAGGTGTATGGAGTTTAAAAACACAGTGGAGCACTTGCTGTTTCGCTCAAGCTGGAACAGTTTTCCGTTTGAGAGAAGAACTGAGCCTAAACATGCAGGATTTGTGCATTAAACATGTGCTGATGAAACAAAAACACAACTCCAGGTACGTTTTGGATGAGGAAACATTTTAACAGTGTAACACAGTTCCTTTATAATTTCTAGTAAGATGCCGCTTTATTTCTAGAACCTTCTGTTGCTATGTATTTGCCCTTGTCCGTGATTTTCCTCGAGTTTGGGACGTATTTAAAGATCCTACATTGTGTAAAAATCGACTCCTGTGAGCTTTTAGTCATGTTGTAATGATAGTTCATCAGAAATGTACCCGGAGATGTGTTTAGTTTCATTCAGACGTTCGAGAAATCCTTCATTTTCAATCTGTCTACATCTCAAAATGCTCTTTTCCACCTTGTGACGTCATGAATCGGTCATGTCCGAGTTAAGAGCTTCCTTTTAGCTTTAATTTCGGTAAAGGTCGGCAATTCCAGGGCCGAAATTAATCCAGTTTTTTCTACTAAAGGTGTATGGAGTTTAAAAACACAGTGGAGCACTTGCTATTTTGCTCATGACATCACAAATTGGAGTATTTTCTGTTTGAGAGAAGAACTCTAAAGCCTAAACATGCCAGATCTGTTCTCTCTGTTGCTATTTATTTGCCCTTGTCCATGATTTTCCTCGAGTTTGAGACGTATTAAAGGTCCGACATTGCTTAAACTCCTGTGAGCTTTTAGACATGCTGTAATGTTAGTTCATCAGAAACGTCTTCAGAAACGTACCTAGAGATGTGTTTTGTTTCATTCACACGTTTGAGAAATCCTTTATTATTAGTCTTGGCTACATCTCCAAAGCTCAGAATGCTCTTTTCCACCTTGTGATGTCATGAATTGGTTGTTTCCGAGTTAACAGCTTCCTTTTAGCTTCAATTCGGTAAAGACTGCCAATTCCATGGCTAAAATTAACAAACAAAACACAACTCAAAATAGGTTTTTGATGAGGAAACAACATTTTAACAGCGTAATACAGTCCCTTTAAAATTTCTAGTAAGACGCCGCTTTATTTCTAGAACCTTCTGTTGCTATTTATTTGCCCTTCACACATTTGAGAAATCCTTTATTTTCAGAGTTTCTACATCTCAAAATGCTCTTTTCCATCTTGTGATGTCATGAATTGGTTGTTTCCGAGTCAACAGCTTCCTTTTAGCTTTAATCTGGTGAAAATCGGCAATTCCACGGCTGAAATGAATCAAATTTGTTCTACTAAAGGTGTATGGAGTTTAAAAACACAGTGGAGCACTTGCTGTTTCGCTCGAGCTTGGAACAGTTTTCCGTTTGAGAGAAGAACTGAGCCTAAACATGCAGGATTTGCGCGTTAAAACGTGTGCTGATGAAACAAAAACACAACTCAAAATACGTATTTGGCGAGGAAACAAGATTTTAACAGCGTAACCCAGCCCCTTTAAAATTTCTAGTAAGACGCCGCACTATTTCTAGAACCTTCTGTTGCTATTTATTTTTACAGCAAATGTGGAAGTTATCGTAGGCCTAACTGTATGAGCCAGACGAAAAGCACTTGGAGTAAATATAGGTTAGAGGCATTCCTATAGCCTCTGTATCCAGTCACAACAGTAGTGACCGCAGTGTGTTTGTGTCTCTCTGTGTGTGTGTGTGTGTGTGTGCGTCCAGGGACAACATATGTCGGGGTGAGGTGTCCACGCTAACACAACACTAACCCAAAGCCGAGTGCCGAGCGTGGTTGAGATAGCTGCAGGGACCCCATGTGTTCTCTGGTTATGTCTACAGAGCATATGTACCACCGAGCCCGCTCCACTGAAAGCTGCGAGGAGGCGGATTCTTACCGTGTTTTGTCTAGAATTTTTAAGATTTGGATTGATTTTTGTCAGAAGGGTTTAAAGGTTGTATGGAGGATTTTTTTTTCAGTTTCAAATTGTCAGTGAAAGTTTAAAATACCATTACAGAGACGCAGCAGCTTTGTAATTATGATGACTAAAAAAAAAAAGAACGAAAATCTATCAACTGTGGACGTGTTGAGGCCAGATAAACATCAGCCAATAGAAAACCAGGCTCCCTCATTTTCTATTGGCTGTTAGGTTGTCAATCAAACTCCCTGCGTTTCTAGTGTAACTGACTCTTTGGCGCACGGGATTATGTGGTTTTTGCAGCGGTTCTTAGAGGCTTTTTTTAAAACTGTCGCTTCCTCGCATTTCGCACAAAGTTTGTCGGGACGGCGGACGAGAATCCACGACCGGTTCGCCGCAAAAGAAAGTCCGTTTTTGAGGTCGCTGAAAGAAGAAGAGAAGAGGAAAAGGAGCGAAGACAAACTGAGGTGATTCTTGGAGATCTCGTCCAGCGATGGCGCGACCGAAGCAGACGAAGCGTCTAAAAACTGACGCGTCGGTCGCTGAATTACTTCTAGACAGGAAACTTGAACAGTAATTCTGAATGCGCACAAGGACTGTCGCTGTATTTCTCTTCCCTTAAAAAAATCCTCTGTACAACCTTTAATTGTTGTGTTTAATAATAATAATAATAATGGTGCGTTTTATTTCTGGACACGCAAGGACGCCGTACAAACAACAATTAAGACGCGTAATTAAAAACAATCAAACAATACAGGACAGAAATTGCAGATATGATACATACCTCGATACAGTGTGCTTTCGATTTTATATATTTCAAATCGATTCAGTACGGTTCAATAAAACATAATTTCTAAATCATGGCTGTGGTACTAAAAGTCTTTGTTAAATCACTTCTTGTGCAAAGTTAATATGAAACACAAACGTTTTAATCATCAAAACAGTGAAAATGTCAAATGTGTCGAATCCGTGTGTCATTCGTTCATTTGTTTTTCAAAATAAAACCAAAAATAAGAAAACGAAAGAACAACTAATGTCTTCGTTATTTATCTCCAAAACCAAAATGAAAAAAATAGATAATGATTCATTTTTTCAGTTTTCGATTTTGTGTTTAAATGAAGTCCTGTTTCTGGACTTAAACTGCGATGCCGGACTTTTGCTCCGCATACGGACTGAACCAGGACTGAGGCTGGGACTGAACCTGAGACCGGGACCAGACCGGGACTGACACCAGGATCCTGGTTCAGTCCTCGTTTAGACCTGGTTTAGTCCTGGTTCAGTCCTGGTTCAGTCCTGGTTTCAGTCCTGGTTTAGTCCTGGTTTAGTCCTAGTGTAGTCCTGTTTTAGTTCTGGGATCAGTCCTGGTTCAGTCCTAGTCCTGGTCCCAGTCTCAGTCCCAGTGTCAGTCCTGGTCTGGTCCCAGTTTGATCCCAGTCTCAGTCCTGGTTCAGTCCTGGTTCAGTCCGTATGCAGCGCAATTTTTTTTTGCATTTTGGTTTTGAAGATAAACAATGAAGAAATTTATTTATTTTTTTCTTATTTTTGGTTTTATTTTGACAAATGAATAAACAAATGTTACACAGATTGTGTCGCATAAACAAGTTTCCTTCCTCTAAACAAACAACAAAACTGTAGCTCTGTAACAAAATAATTTAGTAAAATATAACAAAAAATACTCTTATATCAATACAGTTTCCAACGATATTGATACTGTATCATCACATTAAACGATACGATATATTGATATTTCGATATTTTTGCACACGTAATCAGGTTGTTAATGTTGAAGGCGAATTTAAATAAGTGTTTTGAGGGGAATCTGCTGGAAAGTCCTCATGAATTGTACCCTTTATTAAAGTTAGTTAATCTTAAAAAAAACAAACAAAAAAACATTGTATTGTATTAATTAGACAAGCAAATTACAATATATCTCAACACAAAACAAAATGATGTGGTCTTAAACACGCACAAATATAGTAAATACAGTTTGTCAAATTACTCCTCAGGAATAAT